GGATTCGGATTCAGCGACCCCAAAAACATATAATAAACATGGTCTGATCCCCAGGCCAAAGAAATTTTTTTTTTTTGTGTGGCTGTGTAATTTATTAAGAATATATTGGATTGATACAACATACACAAAACGGCTTGAAAACTCCAACTTTTCCTCGAATTTTCTTCTCATCACATTTAGAACGTCTCATTACTAATTTATTCATTGTAGAAACCTTTTTACACGATGCTGTTTATACATAAAATTGAAAAATAAACTCGATATTTCACAGAAGCCAAATACGCCAGCGATTAATTTTTATTCAATTGTAAATCGTAAAAATTACAAAACGTTTTATTTACCAGACAACTTGTAAAAATAGGATTTTGTATAATCATTTCCTGCTGTTCCTTTGGAGTATTTGTCTTCCCTAAATTCTTTCTTTGTGACATCCGTAATCCTCACGCCGGGCAATCGACGAGGATTGGCGCAGAGATGCCAGTTTTAAGACTTGCAGCATGCAGCAGCAGGTGGAGGGGATACGCAGGCGAACAGCCGTATCCGTGTGCGCTCGGCGCTTCGGCCAACGTCGAGCAGTAGAAGGAGACGGACACACATAACCGCTCTCTTTCTTTTTTTATAGCTATATATAATACTGCCAGCCGCGAGAAGCGTGCCTAGGTGCTAGCCTTGTTTTCTCGTGCGTGGCTCGTATGTTCCTTCTCTCTTCCTCCTCTTTCTTTCTCTCTCATACTTACAAGGGTTGCGTTCCGATCTTCACTGCCAGTACTAGAAATCTATAGCACATGTGACGTGAAGTATAGATTTTTAGCACTGTCAGTGAATATCGGAACGACTAAACATCTCTGAAAATTAAATGGATATATAAAACTATAAAATATTATATATACAAAAATAAGAATAAAATAAAATTTATATTGTTTCTAAGTAACTAACTCTTATTTTGATACTAAATAATCAATATATCAAATATATTGAAAATAAAAAATAATCAATGATTATAAAAAGCAACAATAACTTTTTAATAAATATTATATAGACATTAAATATTAATAAATTTCTTTTTTTTAACTATGTTATATTACAAACTACTGAATATTAAGGATACGACAAACACCAAACCCATAAAATGTAATTATTTTTGTATCATTTATTACAACAAAACATTTATCCTTCATGAAATACTTTGGCAACAAACATTGCGCTTTCATACATAAAGAAAAACAATATAAATAACAATATAAATAACAATGTAAATAACAGTATACATAAAAGTATAAATGTGTACAAAATAAAAAAAAACTGTATAAGAAAATAAAGAAAAAAAAATTAACAAATATATATATGAAAAAAATAAAGAAAAAAAAATTAACAAATATATATATTTGTTAATTTTTTTTTCTTTATTTTCTTATACAGTTTTTTTTTTATTTTGTACACATTTATACTTTTATGTATACTGTTATTTACATTGTTATTTATATTGTTATTTATATTGTTTTTCTTTATGTATGAAAGCGCAATGTTTGTTGCCAAAGTATTTCATGAAGGATAAATGTTTTGTTGTAATAAATGATACAAAAATAATTACATTTTATGGGTTTGGTGTTTGTCGTATCCTTAATATTCAGTAGTTTGTAATATAACATAGTTAAAAAAAAGAAATTTATTAATATTTAATGTCTATATAATATTTATTAAAAAGTTATTGTTGCTTTTTATAATCATTGATTATTTTTTATTTTCAATATATTTGATATATTGATTATTTAGTATCAAAATAAGAGTTAGTTACTTAGAAACAATATAAATTTTATTTTATTCTTATTTTTGTATATATAATATTTTATAGTTTTATATATCCATTTAATTTTCAGAGATGTTTAGTCGTTCCGATATTCACTGACAGTGCTAAAAATCTATACTTCACGTCACATGTGCTATAGATTTCTAGTACTGGCAGTGAAGATCGGAACGCAACCCTTGTAAGTATGAGAGAGAAAGAAAGAGAAGGAAGAGAGAAGGAACATACGAGCCACGCACGAGAAAACAAGGCTAGCACCTAGGCACGCTTCTCGCGGCTGGCAGTATTAGCTATAGCCAAGGTTGGGTAAGTTAAATTTTTTTTTCATTTAAGTTAAGTTACAGTTAAAGATCTTAAAAATTTTATTTAGTTAAGATATAAGTTAATCCATAATGAAATTAATTGATTAAAAGTTAAGTCAATAAAAAAAATAATTAACAAGTTAAAAGTTAAATTTTTTTTCATGATTTTANTGTTTTAGTCTTACAAATAATTACAAACATTTACAGTGTTTTAATCTTACATATAATGGAAAAAATAAATGTACACTTTTATTTAGAAATATATTTTATATATTTTATTATAAATTATATTGCGTTGGATTTTACGACCAGCGTTTATTGGCTCAATTCTCAAACACGTACGAATTTATTCGCATATAAAACGAATCATTCTGAGCTTTGTGATTGGTCGAATTTTTCGGCCTATAAACATG